GCTGCACAAACAGGAAAGCTACAAAGGGGTCAAAGCAACTGCAAGACTTGTGGTGCAATTCGACTTCCTCATACACGCAGCAACTACTAGAGTGCATCACAGTTCGGGTTTGCAGGGAGATGTGACAGTATGTAAGCTTTACATTAAGAATCAAAGTGTAATGTATATAATTCTGAAGTGTATTGCTTTGTAACAAATTCTGCTTTTATTAAAGACAGGCAGAATTCTTAATTGACTAAACAGCCACAAAAAATGATGGTAAATTTTCCCATAAATACAATGTTGTCTTTTTGTGGTTCTAATATGGAGCCAAATAGCAATAGCACCTGGATGTACTTACATAAAGAAAGTTAAAAAGGAGTTTCAAAGATACATATACATAAGAGAATATAAGATACAGCTTACTGTAGTTGAACCTTTGATCTGGGGAAGAATTGCAACATCACTAGCTCTCAGCCCAAGTGACAGACGTCTTCCTGTGAATATGGAAGCATGGAGACACTCTTTACACAAATTGATGTTAGGAACAATTGGGTACACACATACATGTCCACCAGCTAAGGAATACGTGGCAGACTAAAAGGTCTAGTGTGTGGGATTTAGTGACATCTAGTGGTGAGGCTGAAACCAACTGCCAGTGTGGCAAGTGTAAAAGAACTACGGTTACGAACACACAAAAACACACATGGTCCTGTCTAGACCCAGTGTTTGGTTTGTCTGTTCTGGGCTACTATAGAAACAACATGGCGGACTCTATGGAAGAGGACCCACTCCGCTTGTAGATATAAAGCCCAGTTCAGAACAAAGATTCACGACAACAAGCAACTACTTGCACTGCACCGTTCTGCAACATTCTACAAACCTGCTGGTTCACACCAATGCAACTCATTGATACGGTGTTTCATCTCTATGCAACAACTCTGTTCTTCCGCACTGATTTCCAGCTTTTCAGTCTTATTTTGTGGCTAATTATAATTTGTAGCTTCTTAAAATAAGAATGAGGATTGTGATAGTGAGATACTGGCTCCAGATGCATTTGCAGTGGTGGTGAAACAGCGACAACAGAAACAAAACGAGCATCAGATGGACTGTATTCATAATAAATACGCCACAATAATACATATAACCAGCAGCAATTGATCAGTCATTGAGAATGTGTGTGTATGGGCGGGGCATAAGAACATACAGCGAGCAGCAGTGACCCACCATACAACACTGGCACACTGTGAGGCTTTTGAAACAGGTGAACTGCTTTACGTTCTAAAACCAGTTGCCGGTGACACTGTCAGCCAGCTCAGGTCCGAGCTCAGATGGGCCACTTCTCTACTGCAGCTTTTCTCTGCAATGTTCTTAAACAGTTTCGTCTCATCGTGAGTCTTTGGTCTGAACTGGGCTTAAATGCTTCATTCTAAGGTAATGAAAACACAGCAATTCTTAGTGTCAGGTCAACATACACTAATGACATAACTGTTAAATCCTACACACTAGATCTTTAAGTTTGTTTTCAGCAAAGCATAATAGATCTTTGTCCCTGAGTATATTTTGACAAAGCACATAAAATGAAATTTATAATGGCTGAATTCCATTTAACTGCTTCAGTTTCAGGGTCTTGGTATTATGCATGCTGGCTCACTGTCACACAGTCATGGCTTACTGACTTACTTGATCAGAACAGAGCCATACTGAATGTTATCAGTAACATCTGTGCTTTTCCTACTATGAAAATGCAAAATGTCTGCTGTGAGAAAAGCCTGCTGGTCAAATCTGTGCACGTGTGACATGCACACTTAGATTCTTTTATTGATCCCACTTGGACTGATTGTCTAGATATGATAATCTACACATGTAAGCAGTGTCATAAACAAGGGGGTGAAGGGTTTTAGATTCAAAAAGAGATTATCAGTTGGTCATAAAGTAATATTTTTTACAACTTATTTCTCAAGACACATTAAAAAGTCAATATATTACTCGATATTGTAATAAAAACATTACATCTAAAAAGACTAAAGTTGACAAGAAATATTTCTTGTTCTTGTTTTAACCATTAAAACATGGTGAAAAATGCCCAATTTTGATAACATGAACTATATCAGTCAATTATATCTTTTATATTCTCATCCTTCCCTATCAGTCTTACTTACCTTTGTCAGGAAACTGTTGATGGTACAGCTGGTAAATGTTCTCACTGAGCTGGAGAATATTTTGCAGAGCGCCTGCAGGCTGCCCGTCATGCCAAACACCATCCAAGTTGCTCAGTGTCACCCACGAGTATGCCAGTGCTCCAAACTCCTGGAAGGCAAACTCTGCGTACCGCTCAAACATCTTTACCAGCTCCTGGCTCTCCCAGCCTCCATACCTTGATCTCAGAGCGTCTGGCACTGTGGATCCATGAAGGACGACCAGAGGCTGAAGGCCCACCTCCAGCAGCTGTCTCAGCAGAGTCTGGTAACAGGTAACCACATCCTGCTGGGGCTGGCTGGGGAGGCCTGATGGTAGGAGTTGAGCCCATGACAGCGGCACTTTGAAATGAGTCACCCCTCTGCTCTGGAGGTACTCAAAGTACTGTTTAAAACCTGGAGGTACAGGATGACTGCAGTCAAATGCATCATTCACTGTACTGTCGGAACTTCTCACCAGCTGCTTTGTCAGAAGCCCTGCAACAAGCATAAAGTCCTCCCGTCCATTCACCTGACTGCTCCAGCAACCATACAGACAAAAAACACACAGAGAAGCAACCCACAGCAGGTACTTCATTGTGGCTTGAAAAAGATGGACTGATATTATCCACTGATAGCCAAGCTCTTTATAGCAATTCTGTTTTCGTCATATTGCACAGTTACACAATTAAGATGGCTATCACATCCAAGGCGTGCAAGTCACACTGTTTTATTGCAGCTGTTTGATACCGTCAGAAAGACTCTGGACTCGCACACGTCAAGTGATAACTGCATCCCTCTCGACTCATGTTTGAAGACCATGGAATATGTTACTAAAACAGGCTTTGAAAAATTGTATGTTTCTTAAATAGCATTCAGGTATAGTTAAATCCATATTTAACATTTAGCATAAATGGGCCTTAACAGGTACAGACTCTGCCATAATCACACTTCAGTTTGCAGTTTTATTTGCCAGTGCATTTGATAAAACACAAATACAAATGAAAAAGGTAAAACTTAGCAATAACTAGAAAAGCACTCAGAGAGTGCAGACCTCCGCCAAATAGGTGATATTCCCTCCCCCTCTGCATCAGATTTTGCAGCCTGCATCACAATTAGGTTATTTGCATCACTATCATTATTAGGTTACATATGCCTTCACCATGGAGACACTGTGGTGTATTTATTTTGTTTTTATTTTGTACCAACACAGAGTTTTTTTTGTATTTTTCACTTTCTTTTTTTCCAACACAGAACATTAATTTCAACTTTAGAACTACAACAATATTTAGCAAGTAGAACAAGACGTGCTTTCCGGCCACCAGGTGGTGCTATTTTCACTGTCTCATTAGAAATTGGAATTGCTGCTGAGGCTGTCAGACGATAGATTTTATTTATAATTTTATCCACTTTGCTTCAACCGATCACCACCAAAATTTTATAATCTATTCCTTGTCCCATTATCCACCTTTCCTGAAAATTTCATCAAAATCCGTTCATGACTTTTTGAGTTATTTTGCAGACAAACAGACAAACAAACAAACAGACAAACAGACCAACGCCGGCGAAAACATAACCTTGGCGGAGGTAATAAAAAGAGTTAACGTGTTTCCAGAAAGGTTTTTTTGTGTATGCATTATCAACCGTGTTGCGCAGACAGACCTGAAGACATTTTGCTTGTTGTGGAGTCTGTCTGCTCATTTTGTTGCAAAGATTATCGATAAAGAAACGCTAATACATGAAGGTACTTTTTCTAGATGATAGATGACCCTTCTACAAGAAAATAATCACCTCTACCTCCTTGAGTATTACAGATACAACAATGGGTAAATGTTACATAGCTGGTATTAAAGCTCATTACTCTAAAACATGTGTCAGTGAAGGATGTGAAGTAAAACAACCAAAAACACTTCCTACTGGAGAATCCTGAAATTTTTATTGTTAGGGAATTTGATTCATGGAAATATTTTACTACAACTGCCAAATTTATAACACACAACATTGGAACCACTACCAGCACTGCCCTGAATATTGCGTAACTCGAAAAAACTTTTTAAATCACTTTCTGCTATTTTGCTGCAAGTATATGTTTACCCTGATGCCCTGTGCAAACAAACAGGAACTGGTGCACTAATGTTTTTAATGCTGTAACTTTGACGTCCGTATTGCTTCCATATGGTGCAAGAATTCTTTACATATTTTTTTGTTTTATTTTTTACAGTAATATAAAGCATCTTATTATAGTCATTATCTTTAATATATTGTATTTGACCTCCATGAAATATTGTGGTCTACTAAAAATTCAAGCAATATTCTATCAATTTATGAGCTAGGTAGTTATTTAAGAGGAAAAAAATATTCTGTACAGGATATTGTGTGTTTGCCACACTATGAAATCGTTTTCAAAGTCAAATTCAAACAACACAACAAAAGATGCTGTACACTATAAAGATCTTTATGCTTAGTTTAATAGTGGTTTAACAATTGACATCAATTTAAACACACAAATCTTACATACAATAAACTATCACTCTATAGACATTTAATATTACACTTAGTAAACCAATAGTAAGTTTTTTCCTGGAATTTCCTGCTTGACCTAGACACACATTTCCCCCCTTTAATCAGAAATCTCTTCTGTCTCCTGTTTGACCCTTTTATCAGAAGCATTCAAGGCTGTGACCACTCTTGTCAAACGTCATAAATGATCACAGCAGTGGTGACCCCTGCATGCAGGAGTGTCAATTATGAAACTCTGGTCTGACTGAAAGTTCAAGCTTGTAAACAGCGCTACTATAAAAGGTTAGCCATCCAAAGTCTCATTCAGTTCTACCCCACAGACAATATGTCATTACTGGGGAAACTTCTCTGTGTGTGTTTGATCACTGTGTATGGCTGCATGTGCCAGAAACATGATGATCAACATCAGGCCATGTTTCTTGCAGGTCCCAGGACCACCAGTCAGGTGAAAAACCTGAATGGCAAACCATTTGAAGCGTTGGATGCATTTGACTGCAGTCATCCTGTACCTCCAGGTTTTAAACAGTACTTTGAGTACCTCCAGAGCGGAGGGGTGACTCATTTCAAAGTGCCGCTGTCATGGGCTCAACTCCTACCATCAGGCCTCCCCAGCCAGCCCCAGCAGGATGTGGTTACCTGTTACCAGACTCTGCTGAGACAGCTGCAGGAGGTGGGCCTTCAGCCTCTGGTCGTCCTTCATGGATCCACAGTGCCAGATGCTCTGAGATCAAGGTATGGAGGCTGGGAGAGCCAGGAGCTGGTAGAGATGTTTCAGCAGTATGCAGAGTTTGTCTTTGGAGAGTTCGGAGAGCTGGCAGATTCCTGGGTGACACTGAGCAGCTTGGACGAGCTAAGGGATGCTGAGCTGCAAAGCGCCCTTGACGCACACATCAGTGTCTACCACTGTTACCACCGACTGTTTCCTGGGAGAGGTAAGAGATCAGTGTTTTACAGCTGAAGATAAATGATTTCTTGTATAAAACGTGTAGCTTGTATGGAACAGGAATCAAAAACTGTTTATGTATTTACAACAAAAATGTTAAGTTTTAATTTCTCATGCTCTTACTTTTCCCTTAAATTTCCCCATTAAGTAATGTGGGAAAAATCCACACTGTATGATATACAAAACATTTGTTCCAAAAAAATACTGAAGCTTTACAAATGCTGCACTTTGACATCAAATGGAGATGTTATGCACAACAGTTCATACACCTTACCTTAAATTTTACATGATGCATTTGGCACCTTTGAAAATGTTCAAAGGTTTGGGATAGTTGTAAAAGGCAGGTAGATAGATACTTTATCAGTTTTTATTTGATGATACGTTTAGAATACGGGCTTATTGACAAAAAATATAGACACCAATAAAGTCCTGTTCATCCACTTTTACATATTTTATTACAGCACTATGTACTTATAATTACAATGACCATGAAGAGTAGCTTTGTAGTTGTCCATCTTTATTAGATTCACAGTAATTATGGCAGCGCTTGATGAGATAACGGTTTCCATATCTGTTCACCACACCAAAGGTCATGATAAGGGAAAGGTGTAAAGTAGGGGAAAGGAGAATGTGGCTCCAGGAAGAGTGAAGATAAATAACTGAATTAACATGCCATGTGTTTCAGATGGAGGAGTATCAGTTGGGGTGAAGGCCAGTAAAGTCCCAGTCATCAGTGACACTCAAGTACTGGTAAGATCACATAGTCACACAGAACATAAGCATAAGAAAGAATAAAAGCAATGCAAGGAATTATGTCAGCTTCTCCAAATAGATAAATCTGTGTGATAATGTCATTTACGCCAGGGAAAAGTGATGTGCCTCTTCCATTCATTCACACTTGTATCTCTTTTTCAGAAATATTCAGATTTCCTTTCTATTAAAATTCAATATGACTGCACTGCTGGACAAAACCCAGCTGAGGAACTGAGAATAGTTTTGGTATGTTCAGTCTTCAGCTGTATAGATTGCAAATTATCAGCCCTTACTATCTTACTTTGGGAATTTTTCAGTTACCTGCATTTGTATTGAACATTAATGTTTTGTTACAGGGAATGTGTGGAAACAAACCCATTCTCTTTTATGAGGTGAACATCATCAACTGTTCTCCTTATCAGTTCCTGTCAGATACCAGAATCTTGAAAGGTAACAAGATCAATCGAGAGTCACAACCCTGATGAAAAAAAATCCTGATCTGATATTGTTAGGTAGTCATATTCAACCATTTTTTTTAATTTAATATCTGAGATAGTCTGCATAAAAAATGGCATTGCAGGTTCAATAAATCAAGGATGCAATTTAATAAAAATGAAGGACACATGGCATTAAATCATTTATTCTTATACTTTTGCAGCGCTGAGTGATGGAGACCAAATTGTTCTTGGATTTGACATGGAGGACATGTTACGTCCAGCTGACAGCATCCCAAAAAGGTTGTGGTACACATAGACAATGAAGGATTTACAATATATCTAGACCTGTCTCTTTCACAATTTGTGAGTGTATATTTGTGAAGCACAAAATTATAAGAAATGGGGTGGTTCAGCCAAAAAAGTGTATTCAGGAATCAATTCAGAATACATACAGTAATTCACAATTTGTAAACCACCTAAATTGGTAAGTAAACCACTGTACTCAAGCTGAAAGTGTGAAAACAAAAAAGAAATATTTGTCAGCTTAATTCAACCTGTAAACTAAACCAAAAGTCTATGAAAAAATGTATTTGTTGGATTTCTCCTACTATTTCCATCTGCCATAACTTTAATTATTAACACCTTGTTCCTTTCATTTTCAGTCACACACATCAAAATGACAGAAACAATCTTCCAACATCATCATGTTCCACGACCTACTGCAAAACCTGGAGCAACTTTGCCTCTAAGACCTCATCTGAGCGAGATGCCTTCCTGAATGAATCCTTCCCCGTTGACTTCCAATGGGCCACCTCCAGTGAATCCTTCAAGGTTGAAGGTGGCTGGGTGGAGGATGGGAAGGGAGAGACCATTTGGGATCGTTTTGGTCATGACGGCCTAGCCTTTGAGAATCAGACAGCTGATCTTGATTGTGACAGTTACCACAAGGTGGATTAAGATGTCTACCTGCTGCGAGGTCTTCATGTCAACACCTACCAGTTTTCCATCTCCTGGGCCCGTATTTTCCCCTCAGGCCACCGGGGCAGCCAGTCACAGAAAGGGGCTCTCTACTATGACAAGCTGATCGATGCTCTCATTGAGTCAGGCATACAACCTGTTGTCACTCTCTACCACTGGGATCTGCCCCAGGCACTCCAGGACTATGGTGGATGGACCAATGCTTCCATTGTCGAAGCCTTCAAGGACTATGCAGACTTCTGCTTCTTCAGGTTTGGAGACAGGGTCAAGACCTGGAACACATTCAGTAGCCCCTGGGTGGTGAGCCATGCTGGATATGGCACTGGTGAGCATCCCCCTGGAGTAAAAGACTACGTGGTTGCCTCCTATCAGGTGAGAGCAATATTATTATTATATGGTAATACATGCTGACACACAGCCATTCTTATATGTTTACCTCACTATTTCCTTTATGTTTGCAGGCTACTCACAATATGCTCAAGTCCCATGCTGAGGCCTGGCATGTCTACAATGACAGGTTCAGGAAGACACAAGGAGGGAAAGTGGGCATTGCATTGAACTCTGACTGGGCTGAGCCCATTGACCCCTCCAAACCTAAAGACATAGCAGCTGAAGACCGCTACCTGCAGTTCATGCTGGGCTGGTTTGCACATCCCATATTTGTAGATGGAGATTATCCTGCAACACTCAAGACTCAGATAGAACAGAAGAAAAATGAGTGTCCCCTCTCTGTGCCTGCAAAACTTCCAGTTTTCACTGCTGTAGAGAGCAAGAGAATACGTGGAACAGCTGACTTTTTGGGATTAAACCACTATACCTCCCGGCTGGTCAACAAAAGTGCTGGTGGCTGCACCCCTGGTCCTCAGGGGGTGGGTGACTTTGAGGCACATGTGGACCCTTCATGGTCCTCTACAGCTTCTGACTGGATCTATTCTACACCTTGGGGACTTAGAAGGCTTCTCAACTACATTTCCACAGAATACTTAAATGTTACTAAAGTGCCTATCCACATAACTGGGAATGGTATGCCTACTGAGCACAGTGGAGACACCCTAAATGACATCAGTAGAGTAGAGTACATGAAGAGTTACATCAATGAGGCCTTGAAAGGTATGTTGAAAGTGGCCTGTGTTAATACATTTGTAATTTCATACACTTGTATTGCATTTGCACTTGTTGAATGTTGTTGTGGCTGACACCATGTCAACACTTGGTTATTTATTTCTTTTCTAGTTTTAACTTTTCAGAACTCATCATGCAAGGTCATGTTGAATGGTTTTTACTGGATTGCCTTTTTTCTCAACAGCTATACATTTGGATGGAGTAAATGTGCAGCGGTTTACTGTCCAGTCACTCATGGATGGCTTTGAAGGTCCACAAGGCTACAGCGAACGTTTTGGATTGCACCATGTCAACTTTGACCAGCCTGATAGACCCAGAACTCCAAAGCAGTCAGCCTACTTTTACTCCAAAGTTATTGAGAAAAATGGTTTTGCTTCCCCAAATATATTCTTTTATGCACCAGAACTGAAAAACAAGGAGTCAAATAAAATGTCCTCACTCCCACCTTCCACTGTCCCATCCCAAGCCAGGGATGTCTGGAGGAAATTCTCCAGCCAAACTAATTTTCAGAGAAAAATCTACCACTACGGCACTTTCCCACAAGGCTTCAGTTGGGGAGTATCATCTTCAGCTTACCAGATTGAAGGTGGCTGGAATGCTGATGGGAAGGGGCCCAGCATCTGGGATACATTCACCCATAAACCTGGCAGTATTCCCGCTAATGCCAATGGAGATGTGGCCTGTGACAGCTACCACAGACTTGAAGAAGACCTCTACATGCTGCGAGCTCTCAGGGTGAAATCATACAGATTCTCATTGTCCTGGTCCAGGATCTTTCCTGATGGTCAGCATACCTCTCTGAACCAGAAAGGTGTTGACTACTACAATAGACTCATTGATGGCCTCTTAGCATATAACATCACTCCCATGGTTACACTGTACCACTGGGACCTTCCTCAAGCTTTGCAGAACCTCGGTGGCTGGGACAATGTAGACATGATTAACATTTTTAACGACTTTTGTGACTACTGCTTTGCCACCTTTGGAGACAGAGTGAAATTTTGGATGACCTTCAACCAGCCTCACACAATAGCTTGGTCAGGTTAAGGACTTGGACAGATCCCCCCAAATGTCAAGAATCCAGGAATTGCACCATACAGAGTTGCCCACAACCTTATCAAAGCCCACGCCAAGGCTTACCACACATATGAAGATAAGTATCGCAAATCCCAAGGTGGTCTAGTCTCCATTGCCCTCAATGCTGATTGGATTGAACCTAAAGATGTTAACGTTCCCCGTGAAGTGGTGGCTGCTGACCGCGCGCTGCAGTTCCAGTTGGGTTGGTTTGCACACCCCATTTTCAAGACTGGTGACTATCCTGATGCAATGAAGTGGCAAGTTGGAAACAAAAGTGAACTCCAAGGTCTTACACACACAAGACTACCTTCCTTCACTGAAGAAGAAAAGAGCTTCATAAAGGGAACTGCTGACATGTTCTGTGTAAATCATTACACTACAAAAATAGTAAGCCATGTTACCGCTCGGCTAACCCCTCAATCCTATGAATATGACCAGGACGTGTCAGAAGCAGAGGAAGAAGATTCACCAACTACTGCCATCAGTAACCAGAGAGCTGTAGCATGGGGCTTGAGAAGACTCCTTAACTGGATCAAAGAGGAGTACGGAGATCCAGAGATTTACATCAGTGAGAACGGAGTAGCAACAGACATTAAGACCACAGTTGATGACATTGACAGAGTGTTTTACTACAAAACCTACATTGATGAGGCTTTAAAGGGTAAGTGCACACATCAGTTACTGAAACTTGAGAACATACTGTTTATGAGGTCCCTAAGGCCACATCCACACCAAAACATTTCAATTTTAAAATGGTGATTTAAAACCCTAACAATTTGTTTAGCACTATTTCAGAAATCGTCTCCGTCCATGCTAACATGCCTAAAAATGTATATCACATGACCATTACATAAAATGCAATGCTTGGACTGATGAAGAGGTGGGACTGTTACTGAAAGTACCACAAGTCTAAGGTGGTCAAAGTGGTGAAAAAATTGATTTCAGATCATTGTAAAGCAAATACGGCAACGTATTAGAGGGGTACAGGGGCGTTATCCATCGCATGGGAAATGGATCATCGAGCAGTGACCACATGGTGTGGAATTATATAAGACACAATATAGACCGCCTATTTTAATGTCAAAGTTTCATTCCTAATTATGTTATCTCTCACATATTTTGCACAGCTCATAATCTTGATGGTGTGAAGGTGAAGGGTTACATAGCAACATCTCTCATGGATTCCTTTGAGTGGCTCAGTGGGTACAAAGTAGGATTTGGGCTGCACCATGTAGACTTCACCAACCTGAACCGGCCAAGGACACCCAAGCGCTCTGCTCACTATTATTACCAAGTCATGAAGGACAATGGCTTCCCGTTACCCGATGATGAGAAGATGCTTTATGGAGAGTTTCCCAAAACTTTCAATTGGAGTACTGCCAGTGCCTCTTATCAGGTAAACAATGTTGACACATTCACTATTTTACAATGGCACAAAGCACTTGTACTACACCAGCACTGTTGGATTGTCAGTTATCTTTAAAGTGTATTTTGTCAATACACAGGGAAGAAGCACAAAGGACTTGTTAACATGGCTGTGTGGTACTGTAACAACTTGTCTTTCATTTCAGATTGAAGGGAGCTGGAGAGCCCATGGAAAAGGACTTAGTATTTGGGACAAGTTTGCCCATACTCCTTTGAGAGTGGCCAACAGTGACAATGGCGATATTGCCTGTGATAGTTACAACAAGATTGACAAGGATGTGGAGGTGCTGAAGATGTTGAAGGTTACCCACTATCGCTTTTCTGTATCCTGGCCCAGACTACTTCCCGATGGCACAAACAACCACATCAATGAAGCTGGACTGAACTATTACCATAGATTACTGGATGCCTTGGAAGCTGCTAATATTCAGCCCCAGGTAAGCATTGTTACAGTTTGGCCTCAAACATAAAAAAAACACCTGTTGGAAAACTATGTAAAACTGTAATACAAAATCCCTCTCTTCTGTTTCACAGGTGACTCTGTACCACTGGGACCTCCCCTTAGCTCTACAGAAGGTTGGGGGCTGGCAGAATGAAACTATTGTCCAGAGATTCAGAGATTATGCTGATGTTTTGTTCAGCCGATTTGGAAGCAGAGTAAAGTTCTGGATCACTCTGAATGAACCTTACATTGTAGCCAACCTTGGCTATGGGTACGGTACCTTTGCTCCAGGTAAAACTTTCTCTTGAGATTCTTCCAGTATGAACCAATTTTTATCTCACACTGTAGAAAACATTAGTTTTGTGTAGATCAGCACAGTTGCTATATGTCCTAAAGTTTCAGTTATCAGCCACTATCACTTTTCTTGCTGTATCCCAAGCAGTATTTGCTTGTAGGCCCATTCAAACTGGGCTGGGGTTGGGGTTGCAATCAAATTTGATTGGGGGTTCCATGGTAGCCCCACATATGTTGGTCCAAAAGAGCTCCATGTGGGATTTGACTAGGCTGGTGGGTTATTTAAACACCGCCCATTCTGACCCTCAGCCACATGAAATCCCACTTGAAGCCCATATGGGCGATTAATCATGGGGCCACCATGGAACCCACAGATAAGCACAATTTGGAAGCTAGGTGCCACCCCAGCCTAGGTGGGCTTCAGGGTTTGTCACTGGGTACTATAGCCCCATTCTGTTGTATTTAAATGGGACACAGGTAAATCCACCCTGAACCTTCCCACGTAACCTGCATGTAACCCATATTGGGTCCACATGGGCATGCTGGCTGGGACAAAACCAATGGAATGTTTTCATTAAAAATTATTTTGAAGTAAAAACTTTATTACTAATAATTGGATGTAAGAAATGTATTGGTGTGATTTTTAAAAATCAATATTCAACTTATGATTACTCAGCTGATTGCGTATGATAGAGTAGTTTCTTCTTCATTTAACTTTTAGATCCCGTTAGCAATTCCAAACCACAAAAACATATGCTGTACATGGGCTATTAGTTGTACATGGCTTATATTTGAAAAGCTAGACTGTATGATGACAAATGTGATTGATGGTACTGTTATTAACATTCATACATCTGCAATGTTTCAGGCATTGTGGGTAAGCAGTATATTGCAGCTCACAACCTGATTAAGGCCCATGCTGAAGTCTGGCACCTCTACAATGACAAGTACCGTGCAACACAAGGTGGCATCATCTCCATTACCATAAATTCTGATTGGGCAGAGCCAAAGAACCCATATAAGCAGGAGGATGTGGATGCAGCCAAGCGCTACTTGCAGGTAGACAAATAAATGATGACACCAGAACTGGGTCTATCACTACCCTTTTTTTCACCTTCATTCATCTTAATAAACATATAATGTACTTTTTTTGATATACAATCTCTGCAGTTCTTCATTGGCTGGTTTGCCCATCCCATCTTCAACGGTGATTATCCTGACATAATGAAAACAATTATTCGTAAAAGAAGCCTCGCTGCAGGTCTCCCTAAATCACGGTAAATGAAAAATAGTTTATACCATCACAAGCACATAAAGCAGTTCAGTTTGAAATACAACTGTTGTTGAAGCCTTCGTCAATAAATGCATCCTGCCATACTCTATTTCCACTTCCACCATTAAAAAAAAGACTCTTTGTTCTCATAAAGGCTTCCTGAGTTCACGCCTGAGGAAATCAAGAGGATCAAAGGGACCCATGATTACTTTGGCTTCAACCATTACACGACGGTTCTTTCTTACCCAGTTGATTTGGGAAAACAGCAGGATTATGAAGGTGACAGGTAGGATTGAATTTAAAGAATGACACAGATATGGGTGCTTTCTTTGTACCACACAGTACCTAAGCATTGGATTTGTGACACAAGAGGGAAAAATGCCATACTCCTTGATATGTTCAGCTGTCTGTTTACATGACAACACAAAGTAGAACTATATATCACATATTTAACTAATGCTGAGCTTGTGTCCAATCCAATGTCCAGGGGCACTGGGACCACCCATGACCGCACCTGGATTGAGTCTGGCTCCTTCTGGCTGAAGATCACACCATTTGGTTTTAGGAAAATCCTCAAGTTTATCAAGGATGAGTATGGAAACCCACCCATCTATGTCACAGAGAATGGGATCTCAGAACGAGGAGAAGTGAACTTGAATGACCTTCACAGAAAACACTACTATGAAAACTACATTAACCAGGCCCTGAAAGGTACCACAGCCAATAAAAAACAAGTATTAGGTGGTTATAAGAGATAACATTTTTAGGTAAATAGATGTATGTTTAATGTGTCCATTACTGCTTATCTTTCAGCCCATGTTCTGGATGGAGTTGATCTGAGAGGATATACAGCCTGGTCATTAATGGATAACTTTGAGTGGGCCGCTGGCTTCTCTGAGCGATTTGGACTTTTCTACGTGAACCGCTCAAACCCCACACTTCCACGCATCCCTAAAAACTCAGCGTCTCGCTACGCCACCATCATCACCTGCAATGGCTTCCCAGACCCAGCCCTTGGGCCCCATGACTGTTTGAACCCTCCACCTGAAGGTAATGCTAAGTCCACAGATTCAAAAATT